TGTTGATGGCTGGTTGGCCGTCGAAACTTGAAGAAGTTGTTGGAAGTGCTCAAACCAGCGTTTCAGCTGGTCAGTGGGGTCGGTAAGCAATTGTCCAGTCGTGTCCTTCACTGGCATCCTCGGGTTCATCCTTGCTCCACTCAGGCGTCGTGAGATATCGTAGAGGAGGCGTATATCGCCAGTGTTTGCGGCTTTCTCCCCTTCGTCGGCCAGGGAGTTCACCCACGCTCGCTTGTCCCGTCTGCAAGAGCGCTTGACTTCCTTCTCTAGAGCCGAGTACCGTTGACGGGCTTCGTTCTTGGCTCCTCTGGTTCTCGCCCGCTCTATCGCGGCTTTTGCTTCTCTACGCTCCTCAATCTTCCGCCAGGTTTCATCTGTGATCCACTCTTTCCTCTGGGTGCGCAGCTCACCCAAGTTGTTCTCGCTTGTTTCTATAAAGGCATTCTTGATGGCCGTCCATTGTTCTTCTACGCTGCCACCTTCTGGAACGTCCGCAGCTCGAGTCTCAAGTTCATGAACAAAAGACCTTTTTACCACTGGATCTTCAAGTCGGCGTGTGTTGAACCGCCGCCCGAGTCTCTCCTCCCGTCGCTGGATCCGCGCCATGCGTAGGCGGATTTCGCCGATTAGAAGGTGATGGTCAGACGCGATGTCGGCGCTGCGTTTATTCCGGACATCAAGAAGGCTCCGTCTCCATTTTCGGCTGATGCAGATGTGGTCGATCTGATTGTCGGTATGTCCAACACGGGAAACCCACGTGACTTTGTGCACTGGCCGATGGGGGAAGAGCGAGCCCCCGATCACCATGTCGTTATTGCCACAAAATTCTGCAAACAGCTCACCGTTCTCGCTCATTTCGCCGAGACCATGGCGTCCCATGACTGTTGTCGGAGCCGATCTTCGCATTGAAGTCGCCAGTGTAGATCTTGATGTCACCCTTTGGAATTTTATCCACGACGGCATTCAGTTGACTGTAAAAATTCTCCTTGTCCTGTAGCTCAGCAACATCGGTTGGCGCATAACATTGGACTATGGTAAGGTTACGAACCCGTGTTCTAAATCTGGCAACGATTATCCTCTCATTAAGAGGCTCCCACTTGATGAGCGCAGCACTTGCCTGGACGCTAAGTAGGAGACCAACTCCACGATGGCGGGGAGCGTTTTCACCTCGAATACCAGAGTATAGTAGTACCTGTCCCGACGGCAGTTTGTGTTCTCCAAAGTTTGGCCAACGAACTTCACTCAGTCCCAGGATTTCTAGCTTCATGCGTCGCGCCTCGTTGGCGAGTTGTGCAAGTGTACCATGCTGGGCTAACGTCAATACATTCCATGATCCAATTCGTGTCCGTTATTTTGCGCTAAAAGTCATTGCCGTTAAATCAGTTCGATGTCTTTCTCTGTTGGTTTCTGTAACAATTGTAAAGGTTTCAGAGACAGTAGGTGGTTGGCCTAAGGTCTCCTATCCGCCGTGATGGGGCTGCCATCTTAGGTGTAGCTTCCGGGGAAGAGCATTTCTTATTCAGCCGCTGGATGCCAGTCAGACGCTGTTTGAGCCGCACCTCCATGGTGAACAGACGCTCGGGTTGGCGAAGCATTTCCTCTATCACCGTGCTATGGTTACCGCGCCAGTGTTCGCGTCGCACCTCCTCACTCTGCTATTGTCGGATTGACAACATTGCCCAGGCTACGCCAACCAGCTGTGTCCATGTTTCAGCTGGCAGTCTTTTGTGATCATATGACTCGTGGAGGCTTGAGGTAGGAACTTGTGAGGACCGGAGCTAGGTATATCGCTCCTTCCAGATTGTCACTCACCATTTTGTAGCCCACAGGTCTATTTGAGCGTACCAATTTACTTTTAGTCAGCCTTTAGCGAGCAATTTTGCGAAGTTTTATGAAATTCTGAGAGGTAAAATCTAAAATTTGTTTATTTCTTCACTATTTTGCCTGGAACTGCTCAAATGATAAAAGTAGACACTGATTTTAATCAATTAAGCTTTTGTTTTGGCACATTTAAAATTCAATTCTTTTAACCTGAATTGGAGAAATAATAATGCGCCATACCTTTCAATTAACCACTGTGAAAGTGCACAAAAGACACTATGTAGACAATTTTCCTCGCACCACTGGTTCATGCCCATTTTCATAAACTAACCTTGAAAACTGAAACACGCTACTGCTCTCTATAAAACAAATTTCCAACAACCGTGTCCTATCAGTACAAGGCGATCAAGACAAATTCACCAGGTTTGTTCTGCGTCTTGTTCCCGGCCGTTGCAAGAATTTGTGATCATGCGATCGAAATCACTACGTGCACACACTTCATCTCACACGTCACATCTTCATTGCTGCTGTTTCGCTGATCGTCGTCGGACGTTGTTGCAGCTGTTGCTGATGTTGCACACCGTTCTCACCACGTGATATTGCATGATATCTTGGTGCGCCGTCGTCGTCGTCGTCGTCGTTGTTGCAGTCTCGTCACATGGATGGAACGCATCCTGCTGATATCCACCGTGTCACCACCGTCCGGACAAGCAGAGCGGTGTGGTAGCGGAGGAATGATAAATTTCCAGATATTTTCCAGATTATGTGCATAATTTGTCCGCTCATGTTACGCGCGAGTGCTCCTGATGGTGACTGCCCTTACCTTTCCTCTTACCTCTGCCGTTGGCCTCGCCGAGATAGGAATTAAGTTTCTTTCTCCTCAATTGCGACGAGCAGCATTGATTTGGCCTGTTCGATGACTGCCGATGGATGCTGGATATGCAGTGGAAGGTGGACTGCGAAGAAGGCGTGCGGGCGACTCATTCAACAGGAGGAAATTGTGAGAACAAAAATCGTGTCGAAGCGTCTTCCAAGATAATGAATTTTATTGCCCTCCCATTTGGATGCTGAGCGCTACCGGTTTACCGGTTCGTATACTGCCAACTGCTACTGCTGGTGGTTTGGTGGAAGCGATGTGATCAATGGGATGCTGAAATCACTGAATTGGAATCGGAAACTGAGAAAGCTATTTGTAGTTTATGTGAAATTTAACAGCCGAGTGCAGCTTCGCACAAGGTTCAGCAATCAACTGTTGACCCGTACTCGAATGGGGATGTTAAGTTCAGATGGGATTAATTTTCTAATTTTTCATCGAACATTGTTCACTGCAGTTTTTGCTCGGCGGTTACCGGAAGAATAAGTATGTTAAACAAAGCGAATTCAGCTTTCTTTTGCAAGCTTCGGTTCAATCTATGCTCTAAGACGCAGTATTGAATCAACATGTGATTAGCCACTATTCAAGGCTCCTCCCTTTAAACTGTCCACGTGGAGTTGAATTTTATTCATTTCTGACTCCTATAGAACACTTTTGAATTTGATCGAAATCGGTCATTGGGTTCCGGAACTCAAATTTTGCACAGGGTCTTTTTCCGAGGCAACAAACATTTTGCACATGGTCGGTTTTGGTAATTCAAGATGATCAGTTTTCTTTGACACTCCAATGCACATGCTTTTAAACCTTTGCTACATCCACTTTACAAATTACCTCATCGAGCTAGATAGGAGATAATTCAATTCTGAAGGTGACGACAATGCAAACCATACCCTGATCAAGAACGACATACACCTCCATTCCCTGGTCCCGGTTCTCAACCGCTGTATCAGATATTTGAAAAATGCTGTAAGAACTCTTGTTTCAAGGCAAACGAATAGGTGCCCACTACCGGATTCGCTCACCGTAGGGTATAGGTAGAATGTGCTTGCGTCGATTTTGCTCTCCTCGCTGACCAGATCCCAAGGCATCTCTCGTCGTTGTAAGCATGGTTACATGCTTCTTGCATGTTAACGTTCTTGTGGCGCGTGAAAAAATATGTCGATATTTATTATTTTCTTCCCAGTTATCCTTCTCCGTACTGCTCGTCGGTTGCTCAATGAAGGGGGAAAAGCTTTGGAAACGGCGTAACACAATGCGCAGTCATGAGAGCAAAATAAAAAAAAATCTGTGCATTTTAATACCAACCGTGGTCCTGTTGACAATGCATGTTGCCATTCCAGCTTGCCTGCCGGTTCAGCACTGATTGTTACACCACTGGACTGGCATGGGGCCTGTAATTAAAATTCCACTAGCGTCCGTTCGCAACATGTGGAAATTACTGTCCCAAGTCATGTCAGTGCAAATTTCGACGATATGTTTTATTAATAAGTGCGCTGAAAATCGAGAATGGTGTCATTCAGAAGATTGTTGAATTGCAATTCAGAGTTTTTTTTTTAAATTTTGGGTGGGAAAAGTTGATTTTGAATTGACTTTCTATCTCCCGAGTCAGGTTTCCTCTGATCTTCAGTTTCTGACTTGTTTCTTGATTTCGAAAACAGCCAAGAATAAGTGAGAACAAATAGAATAATTGTTGCGCTTGAATATGCATCAGTGTCCACAAAAAGGACTCAATAGACGAAAACCACGGTAAGTGAATTTAAGAATTCGCACAATTTTGCAATTTGTTGAGCTCAAATAAGGTTATTTATATTTCAAGAATGGCGAGCGCATGTACCACCATTTTTCAACACATTTGTTTCGTTCATTCGGCTCTTTAAAACATTCAAACCCCGACGCCGAACGCGGTCAAACATTATGCATCCGGCTATTTATCATGCTGACTCCCTACCGGAATGCTTAATTGAACTTAATTGAGCATGTAAAACGTGTTATTTATATGCATATCTTTCATGCATTTTTCGACCGGCCATTTTCGTGGCTACTGGTCGTTGTTATTCGAAAGTTCTTCGTCTGCTTTCACAAAACTGCTGGCTATAAGCGCTTTTGGTTCTTCCCCCTCAAAAACAAAAATCAACATGGCTCTAACATCAGGAATGCGTGACTTTGTCTTCTCACCTAAATTAATTAGCTCAATTAGATTGTTCGCCCACATGCGCCCTTGATTGTTGTTCACAAGAGAAGATGTTCGAGGTTTCTCGTCTTTCCAATTAGAGCCGTTAATTTAGCATAAATTGTTTCCACTTACTTTGCATAGTCACCTTTGCAGTAGATCTGCCGATCCTTCAGAAAGCAGGAAGCCTGACGGTCCAGCGGTGTATGGCAGATGCAACAGCGGAGACAGGCCGAGTGCCATGAGCAACCGCCCACGTCTAGCAGGTACTGGTCCGAGATTGGTTCACCGCATGCCGTACAGGAGCGGAGTTCTTTCTGAAAATGGAGGAATTTTATTCAAAACATTAATACTGAACGCTGTCTATTAAGTGGGCTTTCCGTAAGCATTTTAATCTATTACAGGTGATATTGTAAGCATACAGTTTAACCTACTTTGGGTGTTTACTTTGTTTTCATTCTAATATTTATCCATGTGTATAAGTGGATACCACATCTCGTTTTTTTCTACGATATTATAGATCTGTTTTCCAGATATCTTTTGTCTGCAATCTAATTCCTAAATGATTCGATACCCTGTAATATATCAGCAATATTACCAATTTGACTTGATAATATTTTTTGAATTCAAGAAATGTTTCCGAACATTTCTGAAGTGATTCAGTACTTTCTGAAGTGATTCAAAAAATTTCAATAGTTAGCCAGTACTTTCTGAAGTAGTTTAGAATTTTTCCGAAGGGAATCAATACTTTTCGAAATGAGTCCTAATATTTCTTGGATGATTCCTAAGCGCATCCCACTCTTAAATTTAGTACTAGTATACATTAAATATGTTTAAATCTCTCATAAGTATTCTTAAGTTAAGTATTTTTAATCTTGCATAACTTACATCGTAGTTACCGGTTGCTAGTGTCAATTTGATAGTATTCGTCACTTTTGAAATGGAATTAATTTTTGTTTGAATCTATTTTAATTGCAATAAAATCATGATAATTGGTATATGTATTTCAATAATGTTTATCTAATAGTTTAAAAAATCGTGTGTTATTCGAATTACTGATGGTTTAGAGTAGAAAGGCTCTAGAACCTCTCTAGTGTTGAGCAGACTTTGCAGTGCGCCTATGCTTTCGAAGCATTATATACGGTTAAAATGGGTGTTCATTAAACTCAGATAACAAATACTTGAATTGTTTATCTTGTTAGAAATTTCACAAGAGCATCGTTCACCTTCTTATCACTTTCGGCCATTCCATCAGTGCTGCAAAATATCAATATCAATCAAAGAATCAAAAATATCTCCAAATGACAAAATAACAAGTGATCAACGAACCGAATAATAACGCTATGTCAGAAGTGGAAAGCAATAATGACATAATCTTCACCGTTTTTTTTCATGACAAGCAGCCCGTACGACACAACTCATTCGGGGCGGTAGAAGGAAACGAGCAAATTGTTGGCAAGCTGCTTCACGAAGTAAAGCCGAAGATGATACACGTGTGTTAATGGGAATTTTTTTGTTATGTCTTTTCCCTATTCATATCAAGCTATGTCCTCATCCGTGTATATTGCAACAAAGCAGGCAAGCAATATACCATTATCGTTCTACCACTCGGATCGAGCTTTGTTACAGAGCGAGTTTTTCATGGTAGTCGTAGCACCCGTTTTGTCTGTATCGTTGGATTCGCTGATATCAATACCTAAAAAATGCTGAACTTCTCTAGCCTCCTGATATCAGTATCAGTTCGCACAGTTATAATATCAATGTCATTCGCCTCAATGTCAGTGCGCAAATGACATTGACATCGTAAAGGGGGCACTGATATTCAAAGTTCTGCCGCATTTGTTTCTTATATACGCCAGCTAATCCAGACCCGATCATTAGAAAACTCATCAGTAATATGAAAACAATGCAACGGTTATACAAAAACGTCGATTTATTGAGATAAAAGTAAGATTTTCAACTTTTACCTAGCCGTACCGCCTGATATCATGCTTACTACGAATATCAGCGTCGGAAGTGAAATTCAGAGCTTGAATAATATCTTACGTCAACTGACATTGTTGACAGCACGCAGCACTGAACCCCATAAGAATCTGATTTCGTTGAAGCTCTAGCTTCATCAAGGGACCTCCCTTAGCTCAGTCGGTAAAGGCGCAGCTACAAAGAAAGACCATGCTGGAGGTGGCTGGGTTCGATTCCCGGTCCGGTCTAGGAATTTTTCGGGTAGGAAAATTTCTCGACTTCCCTGGGCAATACACGGAGAACAAATTATAGCAGACGCAATTATTTTTCCGGTCAAAATAACTATATTGTTCAATTCTTTTAGAGATAACCCGAAACTATAGTTGATTTGACTATATATAGAGGGCAACAACTATAGTCCATAGTTGGCTCCTCGGTTGGCTCAACTATATTTTTCAGTAGATGAACAAACGCCAAACTTCAAAATACAACTATGCGTTAGTTGATTCAAGAAAACTATTGTTAGAAAAGCAAAAATTTTACAATGTTCATTAAACGAACTGCTCTTCATTATCGACATATTAAATAAAGTTTGTTTTGCTTCTTTATCGATCTCAAAAACACAACTGCAAAATCATAAAAAAGTGAACAAGAACATTCAACTTAGATTTGAACCGTGTTCATCTGCGTGAGAGCCAGCTATCTTATGGCCTGCTCTACGCATCACAAGTTAAAAGTATGTGGATTTATGATGATCACTTCAAACCAAATTATATAAATAAATTACATTTGACGGATGTTATAATTGATCAAATTATAGTTGAATTGAGTATAAGATGAACAGTTGAATCTATTAGGTAGATATGATTGAGTTGACGGTCAAATTAATGTTGGAATAACTATAGGTTTCTTTCAAACAACAATATTTTTCCATGTGAAAGTCACTATTAGGATTGTTATCTTAACTTAACGAGTTTGGTCTCCGTGTAGAGTATGATTGGACTTGCCACACAATTATACCAATGCAAAAATGGTACAGGCATCGAAAGCTCTCAATTAATAACTGTGGAAGTGCATCTAGGACACTAAGTTGAAAGCACGCAATAAGCTAATATGCGATATGCAATAAGCTTGAAATGCGAAGAAGAAGAAGATCTAGCTTCATCAAATTATCGTCTGCATCCCTCATGCGCTCAAGCTCATACCCCGTTATACCCTGGACAGACTATGGCTTATATCATGTAATATAGGCTGTCTTGCAATGAGCACTCATACATAGGATTTCCAGTGAAAACTAGATGTATGAGTGCTCATTGCAAGGCAGCTTATATTACATGATATAAGCTTTAGTCTGTACGGGGTATTACAGACTATGGCTTATATCATGTAATGTAGGCTGTCTTGAAATGAGCACTCATACATAAGATTTCCAGTGAAAACTAGCTGTGTGAGTGCTCATTGCAAGACAGCCTATATAACATTATATAAGCCGGGGTATAATAGAGCATTCGTTCTTTTGAACTCCAACAGCATTTCCATCTGCGGACTTGTGATTTTATTTTTTTTTGAAGATGGACGATGACGATGGTGACGGAGAAGGCATAGGTTGAGTATAAGGTACTGTTGTCTGAGATAATTCGTCATCCAAAAATTCCTCAGCGAAAAATAAATTGATTTGAAAAGTGCATACACATGAAGTAAAATTAATTGGACAACAATTGGATCAGAGAATGAATTTTTTTTGATGTTGAATATGTTTTATAAGATTAATGAGCTGATTTACTAGTAATGACTTCCCTCCGGCTCGGTGGTACCGTCCACCCACCGATATTTGTCTGTTATCCTTCAACCAATTGAGCTGATTTTCTGTAGATAACTAGTTTGTGGTTGACTGTAATCACATACAAAAAATCAGCTGGATTTCTTGAAGGACAACAGAGAAAAACCGGTGGATAGACAGTACCACCCACTGCAGATACGAAGGAATGCATGTACCTAAGGCTTGTACTCGAAAAAATGCACCATTTTTATCAGTGTGTAACTTTTTTATGCGTGAGTAAAACTTGATAAAAATCTGGGTATAACTAGTTTGGAGTGAATTGTTTACATGTGCAAAATTTTATAACAATCGGTTCAGTGGTTATTGAGATGTCATCGAAACAAGAAGAAAATCGCCGGAGAATTTTGCGCGCCATCATGGAAAATCCGACTGCGACCATGAGATGGATCGGAAGACAACTGGGAATCACCCATACAACTGTGTCTCGGGTGGTAAAATCGTTTAAGGAGTCCCAGACGACCGAGCGGCGGGCTGGAAATGGAAGAAAATCAAAGACAGCTGACCCTGTGAAGGCCCGGAAGGTGTTGGGTTATTTCAAGCGTACCTCCGAACCTTTTGATTCCTTTTGACGTGGCTCTGAAGACAAAGTGTTACGGCTGGTTCGTTCAGCAAACCATAACACGAGCTGGGCTTCGTGTATTCAAGGTCCGGAAGGCACCGAACCGGCGTGATCAACAAAACACGGCGGCCAAATCCCGCGCAAGGAAGCTGTATCGAGAGTGGTTAACGAAACCGATGTGTGTGGTTATGGATGACGAAACCTACATCAAGGCAGACGCAAAGCAGATACCGGGGCTGGAGTTCTACGTTGCCAAATCACGGTTTGATGTTCCGGAAGACATAAGGAAGAAGAAAGTGGACAATTTCGCCAAAAAATACTTGCTCTGGTAGGCCATATGCCAATGCGGTAAACTGACTAAACCGTACATACCAATGGGTACCATCAACAGCGAAATTTACCGCACCGAGTGCCTCCAGAAGCGTCTGTTGCCCTTCCTGCTGTCCCACGGAGGCGAGACATTATTTTGGCCGGACCTGGCACCATGCCATTACGCGCGATCGACGTTGGATTGGTACAGATACAATAACGTTGTTTTTGTACCAAAAACCGCCAACCCCCCAAATTCATCAGAGATTCGTCCGGTGGAAAGATTTTTTGCCATAATGAAGGCCAAAGTTCGAAAATCGTCCAAGGTGTTTAAGAACGAGCTGGAGTTGAAGAAAGAATGGATGAAAGTGACCAAAAAAGTCGGCTCCACCATTGCACAAAATGTAATGAGGGGTCTTAAGGGAAAGGTGCGGGCTTTCAGCGATGGAAAAGAAATTGAATAAAGTAATTATGCCAAAACATAATCCATAAGTGTTAGTTAATTCCCTGAAAGTTTCAAGAAAATCCGACTTAAAATAAATTTTTGGCGAACACTTTTGTCTGGTGCATTTTTTTTCGAGTACAGGCCTTATATGGTTTACACTAATCACATACAAAACATCAGGGCAATCGGTTGAAAGACAACC